TCAACATATTCTGTTACACCAAATACACAAAATAATGATCTTTAAAAAAGCATCATATGACCCCTTTAATGAAAATGATCTCAAACTTGATTTTTACCGCTATTTTGAAGTTATTGTAGGTACTCTGCCTTTGCACGGTCTGCAAAAAGTGAGATGTCACGCCAAGGCAAAAGGCAGTAGCTTCCACATTATATACAATATTTGGGTGCTGATCACCATTTACAGAATCATTATAGTAACATCTATATAAAATCTAGTGATCATTGGCTATGCTATAAACATATAGTAATGTAATTTAAAAAAAAAAATTCTGACCGTAACAACCATACAAAAAATTAAACGTGAGCGGATACCGTTTTGCAACCAATTTATTTGCAATGTTTGCTAACATTAAAGGATGCAAGACATACTTAGCCTATTGTTTTTAACATGTTTTTCACGTTTTTTTTTTTTTACAGTCTATGATAAAAATACATGATGCTGTTTTGTTCATAATTGTTTATGCAATTTACGAAATTATATTTGATTTATATGAGCTAATGTAGACGTAATGCACGTTTTTTATAGACATTTCCAATTTAATTTTACAATTTAAATGTGCTGCATTAGTTTGCTCATTGCGCCCTCCTGTGGCCTCGGGAGACAAGACAAACGTTTCCTTAAAACCTATTTAATCTGCATATAAAACATTAGAAATTAGATATTTGTTTAATTTTTATTGTGTGCTTGACTGTTAAAACAAAAATATTTGTTGTTTGTCTCAATAAATTGAGTTAATTAAAATTAATTTACAGTGGTTAAATTTAAACATTTTTTTCTATTGCTCTTTGTTTTAAAAAAAGTTATAAAAAAAGTAAATAATTATCGATACCGAACGATATGAAACATTATATCGTTGATACATTTTTTAGCTATATCGCCCAGCCCTACCTAAATTTGTTGTTTTTCATTAAATATTCCTCCACTGTAACTCTCAAATCTCATTTAAAAAATATCATCTCATTCTGCGTGTTCAAAGTTTGTCAATTGGTCAAACAGAACTGACTACTAGCATACTACTGTTTTTAACCATATCTTTATTTGGCAGAAATAGTAAGAGTAGTATGCAGTTCCAAATAAAGCAACGGTATTTCTGTCATGACAACTCTCGGAGGGATTGGCATGGTAATGTACATGACAATGTTAATGTATTTGGTCTTGGCGGAATAGATCTGCTACGCTGCTGCGGCAGAGCAAGTACCGAGACTTGCTACTGCCAATACATCCACAACATGCTGCTGCATATAAAACATACATGAAATAACCCCCATATAGCATACATGAATCACCTCATAGCAGATCTATACAGGTGGAGCTGGGGAAGGTGGAGGGTTTCTGAAGCAAGCTGCAACTGCTACGTAGGGGTGGGAGAAAAAAATCGATTCATCGCGATTCTTTCTTTAACGATTCTGAATCGATTCTGCATTCAAATTCGATTGGGACGGTGCGAGCCTGCACGAGCAAGAAACAGAAAAATAATAAGCATTGACAGACACACGTACATATGCTGGTGAATTCGCTTCATTTGGACAAAGATGGACAAATTAAGACCTGTGCCATCAAATTTTAAATCGACTGTGGCAACACTTTGGATTTTGTTAAGACAAAGGTGTCGTTGAAAAGAGCCATACTGTGTGCAAAGTTTGTGTCACCAAATTCAAATATTTCGGGAACACGACTAACACAAAGAAACATTATGCGATTGCACCCAGAGCTGGAGAAACAGACTTCTGTTCAGATCGTGTCCACTGCCAGTTTCACTCAAAGGACCCTCGAGCAAATAGCAAAGCTTCCACCAAATTCTGAAAAGGCGCAGTGAATTACTCAGTCAGTGGTAGGTTTTACTGCCAAGGATTTGCACCCTCGCTCCGTTGTGGATAAGGATGTTAGGGAGGGTGAATCGTATCGTGACTTTTTTCCACCACAGCACTAATCACAAAGCATCAGTTGGAGGAGAAACAAAAACAACTTAATCTACCCTGTCACAAACTGAAATCAGACGTCATCACTAGATGGAACAGCGCATACGAGATGCTTGAAAGATTTCTTGAGCAACAACCGGCTGTCTGTGCTGCGTTACTATCACCTGAGGTGAGAAAAGGTGTGGCTGAAATCTTCACTCTTACAGAATCAGATATTTCATGTGCTGAGGATGTTATAAATGCCCTCAAGCCAATGAAAGATACCCCACTTCTAATGTCAGAGGAGAGCAGTCCCACAATATGTCTGACTGCTCCATTGCATGCAAAGTTGATCCAGGACATGAAAGAAAACACTGAGGAGACATCAGTGATCAGGGAGATAAAGAGAGTCATCAGTGAGGATCTCAGCAAATGGTACACCACTGAGCAGGAGACAAGTCTTCTTCAAAAATGTGCTGCTCTTGACCCACGGTTTAAGGGACTGCCTTTTCTTTCCGAAGAAAACAGAGAGGAAACATACAGAACAGTGATTACTGAAGCTTCATCATTACAAGAGGTAATTCTTCAGTATCTGTGATAATAAATTACAGAGTTTAGCTTATGATATTACTGCATTTACAACAGTGCATTATTACAAGGCTTTTTTTGTGTAACAAATTACATGTCAATTTCTTAAATCTATTAAATAAATCTTTCTAAATCTCTTAACTATTAATCAATGAATGTATACAAAATGTAAAATATTGCATGACTAATTTACCTGAATGCTTATTTTTGATCTACAGTGTGTTGTTTATTTGCTTCTCTTGTTATTGCCTAAAAGCAGGAAGATGGGGCAACAGAGCATGAAAATCCAGAAGATGGCAGAGCGAATTAACCCAACAGCTCAGTGAGCGCACAGCCTGAAGTCACAGAGAAGCAGGATGGATGTCCTTCTGCTTCAAAAAGAGCTTCATCTTTGCTTCAAAGTCTGCTGGGATAGACCTTTTCTGATGCTTCAGTTGCACCATCATCAGTCACCCTGTGCCATAGCTGAAGAGGAGATGACGAGATATCGTAGTACCCCACCTCTCACTCTGTCTGAGGACCCCCTCAGCTGGTGGCATCTCAACAAGGTGTCATTTCCTTTGCGCTCCAAAATGGCAAAGAGGTATTTATGCATTCCTGCAACCAGTGTCTCTGCAGAGAGAGTCTTTTCCATTGCAGGAGATATTGTTACAGCACAGCGAAGCACACTTAGCAGTGTTACACACGAAGCAGTGTTACACACTTACTAACATGTGGACCAACTGCTTTTTCTACAGAAAAACGTCAACTTGACAGTATAATAATAACAGATAAACTATGGTAGATGTTGGATATTTAAGTTCTTATTTAATTAGTGGCCCGCTTTTTTTTTCTGCACTATGTTTTAAAGATAATCCTCTGTGTCTCTGAATTAAAGGCAATTCCAAAGGCCCTAAACAAAAAGGCAAAACATTTTAGAAATGCTACAATTCTGAGTTTGTTTTTTTTTATAACAATTTTTGCTTTAAAGCCATTTCTTTGTTAAAAGGTTATAAACAAACTGAAAAATGGTCACTCTGTTGTGGAATGAGAACTGTTCATAATTGTTCTTTGTAATCTTCTGGTGTTTACATGTTTCATTCAGAGCTTGTTCATCCTGAATATAACTTTGCTAATAAAATAAAAATGATGATTTCTTTCATTTCTTTTAAGATGTCAGTAATGTCATACAGAGATTCCAACTATAAACAAAAAGCATAGAAACTCCAATTATGGTTCAAATGTAAAGTTGTAAAGATGTAATTGCACAGCAGAAGAATTAGGAAAAAATGTAGATCAAGAATAGTTTTGGAATCGGATCGTGACTCCCAGAATCGGAATCGGATCGTGAAGTGGCTTAAGATTCCCACCCCTACTGCTATGGCAAGCAATAGTCATATATTTGAATGTTGAGCAGCAAGCTCATTGGCTACCGATACAGGAGAGAACCAATCAGCTGTGCCATGTGATAATGATGTCATTAGGTCAGATTGAGTTAGACCTATCGGACTGCGCCATCTAGAGTTTCATGCCAGAACTCTGTATTTGTCTTTTGACAAAAATGTCCTTTACATTTTGAAAATATTTCAACGTGTCATATTCATTCTTTTTAGTCAGTTTGACTAAAATGGTATAAAATTTGTTTTTAATTTTTTTTAATTAAACTTGTTTTTATTAAACTTGTTTAGTTATCATCATGATGTGTCTTTTCAGATCTGATAAATACAAAAAAAAATATTAGAAACATTTTTATGTATGAGTAATTTTGTTTATGAAATAAACACTGCATGTGAGAATCAATGGCAATTCCTGTCATTGACTTCAAATGTGGCGTGGCACGTTCATGCGTTTGAATTTTTTTGGCAGCCGGTAACAAAATGTTTTCATTGTATGAAAAAAAAAAAAAAAAATGGAGAGAGAGAAGAAATAAAGTTGCATAGGACTGAAACAGGTGAGTAAACAACAACATTTCCAATTCTTCGTGAACTATTCCTTTAGCAAAACACTTCAAATCAATGAAAACCCCTCCACCCACCAACAGCACATAACACTGCAGTTCTCTTTTTCTATTCCCTGAAAAAAATGTCCAAATGAAATGGCCCATTTCCTCTGTCCAGATTACTCCTGACAAAACAAACACACTGACACAAACACAAGCAAATGAATACATAATGACCTGTTTGTGAGGTGGCAAAGAGTAAAATCAATGAGATGAGACATGTAGGACCTGGAAGATAAAACAACAAATTGACTTGGAAAAACACATTAATCTCATGTTCAGTGAAAGCCAACAGAAGCCCATCACCCTTGTTTATTTCCATGGAGTGTGTTAGCAGTGGGTAACAGACTGCACAAATGCAATAAGATCCAGTACTCTTCCATCAAAAAGGCAAGAATTATCTAATCATACTGAGGAAAATAAATCATTCATACACCACCAACGTTGGACGATTCCCAACAGGTGATGTAATATGCAGAAGCAAAGCAGCCTTAATGCTTTTGTCCTTACTGATTGAAATCTATACAGTATTAACACGTATGCGCCTTGTATGAGATGTTCTAGAAGGTCTAGGGGGGAAAAAACAACTCCCCTGGTAATATTTTAGCAGATATTTCCCATCAGCAAGTCGCCAGGCAACTGTGTCCTCATGATTCAGGTCCATGGTGAGGATAGCACAATGAGGCAATGATCACAGCTCTATGTTTCCAAGCTGGATCTTACACTGAGACAAACTAAATCCCTGCATAGAGAAATACAAAAAAAAAAAAAAAAGAAGCTCATTCACACAGATAAAAACATATTTAGATCACTGAAAAGGCTACATTTAATGTATTAGAGCCATGGTCAACTATGGTTGTGTAATTAACACTCGGAGAATAAGAGAAAGAAATCTTTACCACATTTCTGAAAAGCCTGAGAGACGTACCATGTGATTTAAATAAAGAGACAGGCAATGTGCTCCACTGTGATGATTTTCCCCAGAGCTCAAAGCCTCCAAATCCTGAGCCACTCTGGAATCAACAAAATTCACAGTATGAAGGGTGGTGGCTGTTCAACAATTCAGGCTTATAGCTCTAAACAGGCGGACTGGCTTAGGGCTGCATGTCACACTGGCTTTTTATAGAATGTGCACCACATTTCAGGACTGATACATTTTAGATTAAGTTGCATCAATTATGTAAGTGCTCTATTCTAGACATCATTCATCCGTGCTGCTATCAAGTTTTAATTAGGGTAGACAAATCAAAGGGGTAATTTGAGGCTGGGTTTTTAATGTAAAATTTCATTGTAAACATCAGACAGTATACGTAAAAAAGAAAAACAGTATCTATCTATATTGGAAATGTGTTAAAACACACACACACACATTCTAACACACACGTATGTTCTAGCAAATAGATGTATATATGAAATATATATGAAAAGTATTTTCTCATATAAAATCATCTATTATACGCAATATATCCAAAAATTTAAAGATTTTCCTCAATGAAGTTTGAACAATCAAAAATTATATTTCTACTCCAATACGTTTGATAAAAATGAAAAAGAATGTGCAAATGTGAAAGATCAACATGAAGTCAGTCAGTCCTTTGGCTGTATTTCAAAAGCCTGATTGCTAATCAAAGGCGAACTGTTGGACCTGAGCTTACCTGCAGCACAAGAAAAGCTTAATGCACATGATTACTAATGCCTTGCCTTTTCAGAGTCTCCCACAGAGAGGTGGCCTGATTGTCTAGAACAAGGCACAGAGTTGCTGAGACACAGCCTCTGGTTTGCTCTAAATTCAAGATATCAGGGAGGGAGCAGAAATGGCTCTCCTCTTTCACGTAGACAAGCTGCTAGGTAGTGTAGGTAGGACTGGCGGTTATGCTGTCAATTATCCGTGTTCTCCCCCTGCTGTTTGCACATGGTATACAGTATTCCAAAAGAAATGGCTTGGAAATAAGGAACACCACGATGTTATATAACATGATTTTTGTAACACAATTATGCAAGCATCAGTTGGTCTTTCCATAATTGATGTTAAAGAGGTGTTAAAAACAATTTGCCAGGATATGTACTGTAGAAAAAATGTAAAATACTGGAACATTGGCTCTGTGTGAAATAGAAACAGATTAACAGCAAGAGGTTGAGAGCATCACGCAGCAGAGATACAGAGGATTTTAAATTAAGAGGCTTTTGAAGGTGTGCTATGCATATTCCTAAAAGGTAACATAAAATGTTAAATACATAGTATGACCAAAGGCAGATAGTAGCATCTCTGAATGAGTGTGGCTGTGTTGGCAATTAACTTTCGAGGAGAGTATGCGTTTTTGAGGCAGAGTGACCTTGGAGGCAGACAGAGAGGAGAGCCGCTGAGAGAGAGAAGATAACGAGGCAGACCAAAGACATGGAGCAGAGGTGAATTTCAACACCAACTCAGTATGAAGGCCAGCTGTGTAAGAGGGGAACAGAACAGTGAAGATAAATTGGTGGAATTCTCCATTTGTCCTCCCACATTTTCTAAATATCAAGGTAATGAAAAGAGTCCAGCGTCATTGAGCAGTCATTAAAATTGTATTAACATTATATACAAAATACTGCAGTGGAACAAGTTGACATAACTTAATTAGCCACACATGCCTATCAGGCCGCTATGTAAGCAAGCCTGGGACGTCGCTGAACTGAAGGTAGTCCTGAAGCAGCGTGGGGATGGGCAGCTGTTTGATAAAGGAGGTCTTAGACAGAGCATTGCTGCCCACCGCTGCCCGCACTGCCAGTCTGCACAGATGGGTGAGGGCAGGGACTGATTCTACAACCAAAAGCAAAAGGTTACAGAGCTGTGGCCACTTACCACATCAGATGACACAGCTACAGAATGCAGTAGGACAACAGTTATTTTTTCAAAAATCATTTTTTGACATTACTTTCATTCAGCAGGGACACATTGAATGGATCAAAAGTGACAGTAAAGACTTTTACATTGTTACAAAAGATTCCCATTTCAAATAAAGGCTGTTCTTTTGAATGTTCTATTAATAAAGAATCCTGAAAAAAATGTGTATCATGGTTTCCACAAAAATATGGTAACTGATAATAATAAAAAGTGTTTCTTGAGCACCAAATTAGCATATTATATTTTTTTATGAAAAATTGTGTGACACTGAAGACCATCACAGGAATAAATTACATTAAAATACAAGTGTTATAATATTTCACAATTTCTGACCATATAAATGCAGCCTTATACATATATAAAATATATTTGGAATATCATTAAATATCTATCAAATATCCATAAATTACTTAAATATGTTTTTCCCCCCATCAGGGGAACAAAACATTTCAATCAGCCATATATTTTAAACAGATTAAAATGAAAATGGAGGAATGATACATTACATTTTTCATTGATATGCATCTATATAAAATACATAGTATTAAACTGCATAAACATTTTGTTGTTGCTTTTAATTTGGTTCATTGAAACAATTGAAAATGATTCCAAAAAATAAATTGACCTTATCAACTATGATGCAGAAACTCTTTAGAAAACTTCAAAAAGTGTAATGAAATTATTCACTATGTTACTCTTTAGGAAACTTAATGGACAAAAAAAGGTGTAATAAAATCATTCACTATGTTGCTTAATTTCATATTACCAACAAAATGATTGCAAATATAATGCAAATATTTGATATATGCAACATGCTGTTGGATACACTGAAAAACACCTGAAGTCATGAAACCTACACATATATATGATTTAAAGTGTACAGGTCATACCGAAATGCTTCTGTGGTGTCCAGGTGCCATCTGCTCGACGGTGAGAGAGAATCTGAAGCATTGAGGAGGGCAAAGTCTTCCAATTAATGAACTCCAGAAAGAAATTAAGCACTCTGTTCTCAGCTTCTTCAAGCCTGCACCCAATTAGAGCATAACAGGCAGAAGTGAAGAGCTTAACACAGTGGTTTTTAACTGTGACGTTAATAATGCACAATCGTTTATTAAAAGGCACACATGGTGAATCCACTCATGATTAAAATAAAAACCTGTGTTGCACAACAACCACAATGTGTTGCTTACATTTTGTCCTGCAGGAGCAGCATGGGGTCCATTCCTGCTTTGAGCAGCAGGGGGAGCCAGAAAGAGGCGCTCTGCATCTCAGCAAGGGCTCTACGGGCCAGTTCTTCCAGTCGGTCACCCTGAGGGAGGCCATCATGCTCTAGGATCAAGGGCAGGTGCTCTGGTACGTGGCCCTGTAATGCAAAGGCATAGATGCCCATGCTCACATAGGCCCCTGCTGCCAAGAGCATCAGAGTGATTTCACGAATCTGGTGACACTCGCTGTTCAAACTGAGAGACGAACAGGAAAAAATATGTCATACTGTCCAACTAATTGTGTTTAAAATAAAAAGCAGGACACAAGTGTACATCTATGTCATACTTCCAAGAGTTGCACCACAGAGCCATGTCCAAAGGGCAGCTGTAGCCAAACTGTCGACAGCTTTGGGCATCTGGACTGTAGCCCTTCTTTAGCAAGGCCCGCAGGCTGTCCGCTTGCCCGCTAAGTACTGCCAAATAAACTGGACTGACCTTTCCCTCGCCCCGGTCACATTCTCGCTTCGTTACCGGAATCAGCTTCTCTAAAATACTATAGAGAACGACAAAAGACGAGCAGCCAGATTAATGCAGTTTAGCAAAGATTATTTCAAAAAGGCCAAAGTTACACTCTCAACATCTTCGTTTAAAAAGTACTAAAGGTTAGCTTTCAAATGTGTGTATCATTATACAAAGTAAATGTTGCATGGTCTTCGTAACCATTTGACAGACCCAGTACGTCATTGCCATACCTAAGCCGACTGAACTGGGACGCAGCATGGATGGGTAGCTGCCAGCAGTCCTCATTGCAGTACAGGTTGGGGTCAGCTCCATGGGCCAGCAAAAGCTCCACACACCGTACGTGACCCTCCTGAGCGGCAATGAGCAGCGGTGTGGCCAGATCATTTGCCTGGCAGTTCACATTCGCCCCTGTGGCAATGACAACCTGTGCTTAGGCAACCAGACTCTAATACATTACTGCAGTGTTGCTTTTTTTCTTCATTTAATAACAATTCATGCGTATTAGGTAAATGACAAGCAATGTCCACCATAAAGAAAATTAATCTTTCAAAAATATAGGTTATGCCAAGTTTTATAAATGTCTTTATTGTATTCATTTTGGTTTCATATGATTTTCATGAACTTTTATATTTAAATTTAATTGTAATGACTGAAATGTAGATATCATGTAAAAAATAAAACAATTTCCCTGTTCCACTTTACATGTTCCTGTGGCTCAGTGGTAGAGCATTGCGTTAGCAGCGCAAAAGGTTGTGGGTTCGATTCCCAGGGAACACACATACTGGTAAAAAATGTATAGCCTTAATGCACTTTAAGTTGCTTTGGATAAAAGCGTCTGCTAAATGCATAAATTATTATAATTATAAAATATATGTTGCATGATATACACGTTCACTACCAAAAATGTTCAAAATGTGGGGTTGGTAAGATTTTTTTGTTTTGTTTTTGAAAGAAGTCTTATGCTCAACAAGGCTGTATTCATTAGATCAAAAATACACTAAAACAGTAATATTGTGAAATATTAGTACAATTTAAGGGGGTCAAATGATGCGATTTCAAGTTTTCCTTTCTCTTTGGAGTGTTACAAGCTGTTCGTGAATAGATAAGATCCCTA